GGGAAAAGGAACAATGGTCACTGTCACAACAAGTAAGACAAGCTTCATATTCTCCTTATTAAAAAGGTTAAACTTTCACAGTTTAATTTAAAAGTTCAGTGTGGTTGTTTTTGTATGTTGCATATTTTTGAGATTTTATACTAGACACTGTTTTGGACTACTGGGGATAAGCCACAACCAGGTAAAGGGATCTGATTTCTTTTTCTTTAATGTTGACATTTAAGTTCAAAAACACTGTGGAAACCATGCACTGTTTTAATTTCTGGTTTATTGCAAGGCTACAGTCTGTAGCCATGATTTTAACTCTGGTAATTAAAAACTTTGTGACCTTTAATTTAATTGGAACATAACTCAAATTCAAATTTTATTTGTCACATACACAGTCATACACAGTACGATATGCAGTGAAATGCTTAGACAACTGCTCGTGACCTAAAGAAACAGAAAAAAAGGCTATGAATAAGATAGGAAATAAATATGAAAATTAAATATGAAAATTAAAACTATGTAATTAAAACTATGTAAACAATTATTGAGTTTAGAGTGGTTCTAATTATTTCAAATATCAGAAAAATGTTACAAATTAACAGGATATCTGAGAAGTTAGTTGTTGTGAGAGGTGCAAACGACTCCGTTAACTGTGATAACTGGGCTTTCGACTACTGGGGGAAAGGTACAATGGTTACAGTCACAACAGGTAAGGCAATTGAAATATGTCCTTAATCTTATTATTTTGAGTTAAAAACTTTGATATTTTCCGAAGAAACAGTGTGTTAGTGTACAGTGTATTCCCACTGTATTTGTAAAATACTGCAAGTCAAGTGTGAGGTAATTTCTGAAGACTCAGTTTAAACACTTGGTGGTGAAAAACAGGTTTAATTCAGTCTTTTGAATCTCAATTTGCACAAACAACATGAAAAAAAAACAAGTATGCCAAGATGGAAAGTCTGTTTTTGTATGAAGTGGTGAATAACTTGTTAGACTGTGACTATGCTTTTGACTACTGGGGAAAAGGCACAATGGTCACCGTCACGTCAGGTATGAATTGATGTATTTTTCATTAAAGACAGAATTTTTTTTTTATCAGCTACGACAATACATCAATTGGGATAAATTCAGCAAAGAAAGTCATTATTGGAACACGTTGTAGCCAAAAGAGCAAAGAATTTGTTAGAAACAAAAACAAAAAAAACAACAACATAATTTATTTATATTAGTTATAACTATATCAAGAAGTAAGTGTTTTAAACTTATTTTATTTTTCTCTGAGACAAAATTGGAATGTCATAGTAATTAATTTGTGTAAGAAGTAAGACAAGACTCGGTTAACTGTCACAAATGAGCTTTTGACTCATAAGAAAATGGCATCAAGATAAAAATGTCATTAGGTAAGACTTGTCCTATTTAAAATCTGCATAGGATATGTTTCGGATAGAGAAATTCATTTTACAAGTTATAATATAACTTCACGTTATGTGAAGTTTTACTTCAAAATACAGTTATGTTAATGTACATTTATTGTGAAAAATATTCTCAAATGTGATGATGTCAAAATGGGTATAATTTGGTGATTTAATAAGATTTCAATCTAGTGGGATTAAAATTAATGTTGATTTAGACTTTTTCCATATCATGAATAGATTAGCCTTTTGATATCATGAAAGAACTAGATTCTATACTGTGCTACGGTGTTTTTGACTATTGGGGAAAGGGGACAACAGTCACTGTTTCATCAGGTAAGATTGCCATCTCATTTCAGAGATCACTGCTTAAGTTGGATCAAATTTATTGCGTTTTTGTAAGAATTTGCCATCAACACTGTGAAAGGACATTTAACAACTTTACACTATGCTTTTCTAATGATTTCTGTTCATGTTCTACATTTAAAATAATGTTCTAATTTATGTGTTGAATAACAGAAAAGTTAAACTTACTTATACTATTGGGGGAGCCTGATGAACCAACTGCCTCTAAAAAAATGTTGTACTTAAGGATTCAGGCACTTGAAATTTTTTTGTATTGTACATTTAGAAAAGGCAATGTCTTCACGCTGGCCTTTATTAAACGAAATGGTCCTCTCGTGTGTTTTCTCTTTAATCATTTCTAAGAGAAAACGTCTGATATATTATTGTAATTCTATTCTGGTATCTTAATTAGTGTTGTCTCCCCTTTCTTAGCCACTTCAACTGCACCCACTGTGTTTCCTCTGGTACCATGTGGTTCTGAAAGTGGAGATATGGTCACTCTTGGCTGCCTTGCCACTGGCTTTAACCCTCCTGCAGTGACTTTCTCATGGAGCAACGACAGCAATCTCTTGACAGACTTTATCCAGTACCCTGCGGTACAAAAAGGCAATGTTTATACTGGAGTCAGTCAAGTCCGCGTGAGGAGACAGGACTGGAATGAACAACAGACTTTAAAATGTGCTGTGAATCACGCTGCTGGGATTGCACAGGCTCGTATCACAAAGCCACGTAAGCCTCATGGTAAGTCACATTTGTGTTAGTTATTTTCTGAGCATTATTTACAATTACCACATGACAGCATTGATAATATATTCCAAAGTTAAACAATTTGAATGAATTTAAACTTTTCCAAAAATTAGAATTGAACTGATGTTTAATGCATTATCAAATGCAGTAATCTTTTTCAATTTGATCTTTTATTGTTAGTTGTTTTCAGACCAGTAATTACAATTACTCTTAAATTATTACTGAGCTACACCTAGTGATTGCTACCTCTGATAAGAACACAAGTTAACTCTCTTTAGTTCTCTATTTTATTGGTTTTGATGTTTTTGGTAGTGGAAGCAGTAATAAGGCCATTTTGAACTGCTAACATTGACAAAATAAATCTGAACATACCGAGGAATTATTGTTTCAACCTTTAAATAAATATTATATATAAATATGCTGTTTGTGCCAAATAACCAACATAAAAGCAAATATTTTGCCTTATTAAATAGCACGACTTATTCCTACATTTTTCTAAATTTATAAATAGAATGCTCAGTCATTTTATTTTGTTACTACTTTAATCTAACTAAATCAATATAGTAGGACCACAGTATCACAGTTTCCCTCAACTTCTGTATCGTGCTTTTGCATACATACATGTGTGCATGTCTTTGTTTTGCAGAGGCGTCTAAGCCAAATCCACCTGTGAACAATACTGACCGAGGAGGTGAGTAACTCATAGTTGTTGTTGTTGTTTTTGAAAAAAACAAAACACTTTAATTCTTTAATAAAACAAGGTAAACCCATAAAACCAGGTGAGCCTTATGTATATATATGCATATATGATTGATTTTTTTAGTTTATTTTAGTTGTCTTGTATTGACATTAAAGTGTTAGTGGTATAACATATTATGAAAGTAGTAGTTTCATTTAAATAATTTTGATGTTTCACCAACTGCAGATCCGACAAACAGTATGTTAAGTTTACACACATACACACACACACCTTTCTGTCTGTCTACATATATACATTTGAACTCAGTGTCTTCACTTTAAACTTGAACATAAATCTCTCTGTTTAACTGACTATCTCTTTCTGATGGGACAGAGCCAACAGTAGCAGTCTACATCCCCCCACAGCTGCACACTGACCCATATAAAGAAATCACTCTGGTGTGTCTGGTCACCAGTACTGTGAATGAGACATATAAAATCGAATGGTCAGAAATGTTTGGAAAGTCACAAGGACCTTATACTACAGCCACCGACGTCCCTGCACAGAAGAGCAAAAATGACCAGAAATGGCGAAGTATGAGTCTTTACACCACCAGTAAGGCAAACTGGGACAAAAAAGATCCAACCAAAGTGTTCACCTGCCGTGTCGGAGTCGGACCTAAACATATTTTAAAAACAGTGTCCAGTGTCCATGGTAATTCCATAGAATGTGACCGCTAACTACTAAGCTTTAAATGTGATATTTTGTGCTTGTGTCATTCTTTGTTTGTGAGAGTTTTCTATATGAAAACCTGTGCACTTGTGATGTCAGTCACTGAGACAAAATGTTTGTTTTGTTTTCATCATGCTGTTGTTCAGCCTGTGTGAGTCACAGTGTCCAGTTGCTTTTATGTGTGCTGTCTGTTTGAAATAAACGTTGCATGGAAACTCTTTGGTATATGTGTAGATGAATAGCTTGAAACAACATCAAAAAGCAGACATACACATAAACTGTTCCTTTTTTCACTTTTCCATTAACACTAGTAATAAAGAGGAAAATCACATTACCCTAATAAACAAATAAAAACAGATGCACATAGATCTCCTCTAACCAAATGTAATGTATCTTCCACTTCTTAGATGATTTTTGTGATCTGAGTTGGGACGATATCACCACTGAAGACGATTTTGGCAGCCTGTGGTCCACAGCTTCCTCCTTCATATTTCTTTTCATATTCTCTCTCTTCTATAGCATTATTATCAGCCTTCTTAAGGTAAACATGCAATTTACATTTTCTGCATTTCAGTTTTATTGAAGTCTGTGAGTTGTAATGTAGGATACACCCAGTCACAAGAAAATGCAGTAAATGGGAACTCTAAAGAGCACTTAAATATATATTTTTTTTAATCAGGAATTTTAATGTTCTGTTTGCACTTGAAAAGCACACCTTTTCTAATGTAAATTATACAATTATTTAGCTTATTAAAGAATAAAAAAAAAAGACATTAGTTTATTTGAGAAATTATAGCCTTTAATTTCCATAATATAATCTTCCAGAACTATCTCCTGGAATAAATAACATTAGGATGTAAATTGAAATTGCTTTTATTAAGAGACTGTTTTAAACTTTCTGATGTTTTCTTTTTGCAGATAAAGAGATCATAACAAATGGGATGGAATGGGTGCGCTTCATTTCTACGCTATTTTTAAAATATGTTTTTCATTTTCTTTTTATGCACATAATCATTTATTTGTTATATTAAATGCCTGTCATATATAAATAG